TTTAATAACTTATGTGAAAATACTTACAGCTTAAGCGTTTTAATCAGAACGAAGAAGTACGGTTGAATTTCAAATTGCTTGCTGACGTCTAAACACGTCAAAATCTTGGGAACTACTGTGTCAAGATCTACATATGATATGTATACTTCTGTACCATATACATAAACTTATATGTGTTTGTATAAAATATACATATAGGTGATTCTATGGAAAGCCGATATGACATTTTGTCCTAGTGATAAGTCTTCGATATTGTTTATATTATGTGCCTTCCAACAAGCGACACGGTGCGATACAGTGATCATCTCGTCCTTGTTTAACATTGGGGAACAACAAGGACATACTGATACAAATACTGTGTCACACCGTGTCATGTGTGTCGCTTGTTGGAAGGCACCCACTGTTTTCGTAAAAACCACTTGTACATATACATCTTATATAATATATATTATCATCGAAGAATGTGTTGTAATGTTGCCATTAAGAAGTAAAATCAAAATGCAAAGAACTGTATACCAAAACCATAAAAAATTGTTATATAGTTGAAAATGTAGGCATAATATTTAGTACATATCTCTTTTTATTTATTTAAAGATTTTCTAATTACATCCATTATTACATCCAAGAACTAATAAATGAACTTATAAAAATTTTAATTCTAAAGCTTTTACAGTTTTTTATTCTGCTTGAAAACAATAACATCAGGAAACTGTACTATATTATTTAAAAACCAAGAAATATGTATCCGAGGATCAGGCAATAGAGAATCAAAGGTTCTTTGTACACACGGGGACATAAATGCCTAGCCATCTGAATTTGTCGGAGTATCGGAACATATTCAAAATGCGTGTTTCTCTCTAAATATTAATGCATAATGACTGACAATTATTTGAAATACGGTAATGTAAAGTGATTATTACATATATAGAATCACTATGCACAAGTATAATTTTTTAACATTAACGTTTAATAATTAATTTATTAGTAATAAAATTATTATAACAATATTATTATTATAACGGTATTATTATTATAATAGTATTATTATTTTCACATC